AGATTCAGGATAAGGTACATATTCATAACCCTTTCATCTTGATTTGATTTTTACTTCCCAGTTTGAAATATCCTCTAGGATTAATTGTGTATGGTTTGCTGAATTGATTGATCCACAATAAGATTAGTTTTTGCAAGTACAATGTTCAAAATTTTCTGTATCTCTATTAGAAAGTTATAGTCAGAAGTGTTGCATGTCTTTAGTATCATGAACTAAGTACCAGATACATTTCCCTTGAATTAAACTAATGCTTCATTATTTCTCTTGCTCCAATGTAAGATGTTCTGTAAGATATTTGAAACATCCTGTAAGATGTTTGAAACATCTTGTAAGCTGTTTGAAATATCCTAATGGATCTGTAACTGATGCTTATGGATGTTTGATGTTTAATACTAGTACATGGAGGATTTCTTGGCTCTTATGCGTATTAGGCACAGAAGATACCCCAAGCACTATGATCAAGCAGATATATGGATTGTAATTTTCTTTATATCTTAAAGGAACGCTATAGTACTCTGTGTGATGAGGTGGACAAGGTGAATGTTGTTCCATCTCTTCCTATGATCTTGAATGAGTACCAATTTCATAAGGATGATCTAAAGTATGCTCGAGGAGAGATGCCTTTCTGTGGTGGCTGACCTTGAAATGGTGCAAAAAGGATCTTCTATGTATACAACATTGAGAGGAACCATTATGTCACAGTTGTATTTCTTGTTGAAGAGTCAAAGATGCTTATTTGCGACTGCAATACCTATGTGTACACTGATGAAAAGTTGGGTGAATTTTTGTATTCCATTAGCACAATGCTCCCAAGATACCTCCGATCATATGGCCTTTTCATGCACTTGCCTAAAGAATCCTTGAACAATGATTGGATACCTGAAAGGGTCTTTGATCTTCCACGAGATGACACATATAGTAGTTGTGGAGCATGGTCCTTAATATTCATTGAGCACCTCAATACCAACACTCCGATGGACAAGATGAATGGCAACATTGTTAGCGAGTTCAGGGAGAAAATGGCTGTAGATATCTTTCATAAGAACATGGAACCATGATATGATTTGTAATTGATGCATATTTTTATATTATTTCTGGATGATATAAATGGATGATTTACCAATTTTATTGTTTAAGTTTATTTTTACGGATATTATCTGATTTTTTTTGGATGGTTTTAATGGATATTTGGAACATATCTTGATGGATGTTTGGCCCTAACATTGAACATATCTCAAAAGATGTTTTAAATATCTATCACGATGTTTTCTCCCGATTATTGTTAAATTAATAAGTTATATTTAATCGAGTGATCCTATGGATAAATAAGCATTATAATTAAACATTAACCTATTGATTAACCTAAGAATACTTCAACATAATGATCTTGTAGATTTAACCACAATCTATATCAAACATCCTGATAGATGTTTAAAATATCTGTGTTAGATATTTCAAACATCCTTAGGATGTTTGAAACATCCCAATGATATTTGTAACATCTAACACAGATGTTTCAAACATCTATCAGGATGTTTGAAGAAATTTAGATGGTAGTTGAAGGCAGAAAAAAATACAAGGAAATAATAACATCAACATCAACATCAAATTACCATTAAACATCAACTTACTTAATACTTCAAATAGTTGATCGTCAACCTAATGATCTTGTGAATAATTAAATGTGGAATAATTAAATACTCAAAGGATTGATCATCAATATATTGATCTTGTGGATAATTATACGTCAACATATTGAATACTCAAATAATTTATCATCAACCTATTGACCTTATGAATAATTAAACATAGAATAATTGAATACTTCAAATAATTGATCGTCAACATATTGACCTTACGAAATTATTCATCAACCTATTTAATACTTCGAATAATTGATCGTCAACTTATTGATCTCATGGATAATTAAACATAAAATATTTAAATACGTCAAATAATTGATCGTCAACCTATTGACCTTGCGAACATCAACCTATTTAATACTTCGAATAATTTATCGTCCACTTATTGATCTTGTGGATAATTATGCATCGACCTATTAAATTGATATAGTAAATAGGTCTAATAATTAATAATCAACCTATTGACCTTATGAAAAAGTAAATATCAACCTATTAAATACTTCAAATGACTGATCGTCAACCTATTGATCTTGTAGATTTAATGATAATAAATATCAAACATCCTGATAGATGTTTGAAACATCTGCGTTAGATATTTTAAACATCATTATCTATCAGGATGTTTGAAGAAATTAGATGGTAGTTGAAGGTGAAAAAAACACAAGGAGATAATAGCATCAACATCAAACTACTTTAAGATGTTTGAAACATCTATCAAGATGTTTGAAGAAATTAAGGTACTTAAAGGTATAAAAGAACACAAGTACATGGGTATCTAAATGATAACAAAGTCCGATTGATAAAATCACTGTCTGAAAATATAGAATAGTACAATAACTGAAAGAAAGAGAGTCAAGGTCAGCGGACGCCAGGCAGCTACCTTGATAGTCTCCAACTGATAATACTCTGAGATTTAACAGTCGTCGTGTCCAGAAGCACCTAGATCTGCACACGAGGTGCAGAGTGTAGTATGAGTACAACCAACTCAATAAGTAACAAGACTAGCCTTTGGGATGAAAGTAGTGACGAGCTCAACAGGCAGTCCAGTATAGAAATAACAGTACAGAAATGTAGGCAATGCTTTCAAGTTCAACCGTTAAACTCAATACAAGAAAAATAGATCAATACTGAATGATATGAGGAATATGACATCTCAGTGGGAAAACCTCGTGTACTCACGATCCCAAATTACTCGGTCACTCAGTACTGTATATGGCCAATCCAGCCCAGGGAAATTCTAACCCGTATATATATACACATCAACTGACAGTCAGTGACTCAGTACCGTATAAGGCCAAATCCAGCCCATGTGGTAAAGTTTTCCCCAAATTATAATGATTCAGACAAGATCCATGTCCAGAGAAATTCATCACAAATATAAATAAGTAAGGCAAGACCATGCCTTGGGAAGTCCATCCCGAATATAAATCATCTACGCTCACTGTGGGGGGTGAGACTCCGGAGGGGCTCCTTCAGCCCAAGCGTGATATAAAGCCGATATGGCCTGCTGCAGGCGGGCAGCCCCGATCCATATATTAATAATATATATATAGCCGATATCGCCTGTTGCAGGTGGGTAACCCTGATCCTATAAATATCCTCACAATGGATGAACATGACTGAGTATCAAATGTACATTTTTAAAACAATTAAATTCAATAGCAACACAACCTTGTGGGTCCCAAAATATCGGCGCATAGCCCAATCATGATCTTTAATACGAATCTCAGCTCAATTTCCCTCACACGTGGAGAATATTCGGATAACAACATGGTTCTTTAATTTTACAACTCCACAGAATTGATTTAAGTCACAATTTATATGGTGCACACCCACACGCTCGTCACCTAGTATGTGCATCACCTCCAACAATTGATCTAACACAAAAATTCAGGGATTCATACTCTCAGAACCATGTTTAGAAATATTACTTACCTCAAACCGTAAAATTATTTACTCCGTTATACCCTTGCCTCGCGAATCGGTCTCCAAACACCTCGAATCTAATCGCAATTAATTCAATTCAGTCAATATAAACTATTGGAATTAATTTCATATGAAAATACTAATTTTTCAACAAAATATGAAATCTAAGTCAAAAATTGCTCGTGGGGCCCATGACTCGAAACCCGACAAAAGTTATAAAATATGAACGCTCATTCAACCACGAGTCTAACCATATAAATTTTACCAAATTTTGACATCAACTCAACCCTTAAATCTTCAAATTAAACACATAAATCACCAATTAAATTTTAATAACAACCATGGATTCGGGTAATTTGACCAATGTTGAGTTAAGAACACCTAACCCATTGTTTTCCTTGAAAATCTCCCGAAAATTGCCTATTTTCGAGCTTAAAATCGTCAAAATTCAGAACTTAAACTTTCTGTCCAGGTCTTTCCTCTTCGCGAATGCGACCCTTGCCTCGCATTCGCGAAGCACAAAAATGTGCTGCCCAAATTTTCTTCTTCGCGAAAGCGAGCCTGACCTCGCGAAAGCGATGCTTCACCAGGCTACTCAATCACGAACGCGTCCTCTCCACCGCGAACGCGAAGACCAACTTCCCCCAGGCCGTCTTTCCCTTTCGCGAATGCGAGGCCTCAATCGCGAACGCGTAGCTTTGCCCCTCGAACCTTCGCGAACATGTGAGTCCCTTCGCGTTTGCGAAGAACAACATCAGCACCAGCAAACCAACAGCAACAATCCAGCCAAACTTGGTCCGAAACACACCCGAGGCCTCCGGGACCTCAACCAAATACACCAACAAGACTTAAAATATCATACGAACTTAGTCGAAACCTCAAATCACATCAAATAACGCTAAAATCATGAATCACATCCCAATTTAAGCCTAATGAAACTAAGAAATTCCATCTTCTACATTCGATGCCAAAACCTATCAATTCAAGTCCGATTGACCTCAAATTTTGCACACACGTCATAAATGACATAACGGACCTATTCCAATTTTCAGAATCAAATTCTGATCCCGATATCAATAAGTCAACTCCTCGGTCAAACTTTCAAACTTAAATTTCTATTTTAGCCATTTCAAACCTAATTTAACTACAGACTTCCAAATAATTTTCCGTACACGTTCCTAAGTCCAAAATCACCATACGGAGCTATTGGAATCATCAAAATTCTATTCCGGGGTCATTTACACATAAATCAATATCCGGTCAACCTTTTCAACTTAAGTTTTAATTTGGAGACTAAGTGTCTCAATTCATTTCAAAACCTCACCGGAACCGAACCAATTATCCCGGCAAGTTACATAACCACTGTAAAGCATAAATTGAGCAGTAAATTAGGGAACATGGCTGTAATACTCAAAATGACTGGCCGGGACATTATAACTCATCAATCCTATATGCCTTAGCTGCAGAATAATAATGGTGAAGCAAATCGCCGCAATAAAAAATTTTGCGAATATTTTCAGCAAGGTGCCTCATGCAAAATTTGTGATGAGCCTTAGGGTAAAAGTTTGAGTTCCCATTTGGTATGCTTATGTGCCTATCAGAAATTATACACAACTCAACACTGTCGGGGTGTATGCTGGACAATTGTTCAAAACAATATTCATATGCGGCATCACACTCCTTGTCTACTACACAAAATGCCACACCAAAAATATGGTTCTCTGAATCCTGTGCTACGGCAGACAACAACACTTCACGATACTTTCCTATCAAAAATGTCCCATCAACGGCGATGACTTTCCTCATAAACAAAAACCCCTGACTCCAAGATTCATAAGCTATAAGAAAGTACTGAAACTTCCCACAGTTATCAAGCTTCAATTCCATCTTGCTTCCTTCATTTGCCTTCCTAAGCGCGTATCGGTACGCATCTAAAATTGCATACTCGTGCTCTGGAGTTCCCCTTACCATAGCCTTTGCAATATGACTCCCTTCATACATTTCCAATAACTAACATTACAACCCAAATCTAAATGAACCATTTCCATATTTTCTTTGTTAGATGGAACTCTGCCCTCTTCAAACTTAGAATGGATGTATTCATCAATGACATCCGATGAGGTGTGTGGATGCTTTTCTGTAAGATATTATGACCCGCATGTGTGCTTATTCTTGTACCTCGTAATATAAAACCTGTCAGTACTTATATATTTGATGGCTTGCAACTACCACTTGCAATTATTGTCTACACATTTGACACAGTACACAAATTTAGTACTCTTGATTTGAAACAGAAAGGAGCCTTCAAGGAAGCAAGCTCAATGACACAACTAGCTCGCGCTTGTTTTTGAAACTTAAACCCTTATAAAACTTTGTGTCGTCTTCATAATTGTGGCTGCTTTGTGTTGTCGGTTCTACCACTTGTGAGTTGCCTTCAACTCCAGGAAAATTTGCATATTCTTGTTCTTCGGTTTCTGGAATATCCATATTCAAATGATCCATTTTTGGAATATCGATATTCAAAAGATCTTCTTCAATATCATCCAATCCATGGCTATCATGTTGTTCCATTGGAGGTGAATTTGTAAGTTTTACCGATCTTTCAACCACAGATACCCTTAGAATGGGCGTATTTTCATCTTCCAAAAATAGCTCAAACAATCATAATTCTTTATTTTAATGGAGCTACTTTCTTGTGCTTTTCACAAATGCTATGCATGTAAGTTATGGAGATATCACTCGGATAACAAGTTAATTCACAACCGGCAATAATCTTGTCAACAAACTCATCATACGTAACATCTCTACACACCTTTATTAGAACTGTCCCTTTACTCTTCGAACGCCAGGTAAAACGGGTAGAACACTCCACCCTTTTACCATGGCAATCAACTCCAAATACAATATAATTAACCATTTTGTAATGGAATACCTGGAAATATCACAAATATATAAATAATTGGTATAAATAATCAACTTTTTTGCAAACATCCTAATGATGTTTCAAACTTTCTAAGAAGATGTTTAAAACATCTTGAGAATATACTTAGGATGTTTGAAATATCGTGAGAGGATGTTTGAAACATCCTGAATGGACGTTCAGGATGTTTGAAACAACTACCTAAAATTATATCAGGATCTTTTAAACATCTCACAGAATGTTTTAAACATCTCACCTGATGTTTGAAACATCTCACCGAATGTTTAAAGAATCACAAAAAACCTGATATCTGCAGACGAAAAAAATAAGATTAAACACCAATCTTTATTTACCAACAATGACGAATAGACTGAATATCTCCCTTGAGATAATGCACAAGTCAATTTAGCAAATCACGATCAAGTGTTTCTTAATCGTACAAGGGTCAATCTCCAATTGTTCTTGTTCTTTTTTCACCAATCTTTCTCAACAAAAAACAAGAACCTCAAAGACGAAGATCTGTGAAAAAATAATGTCGGGATTAAAGAAAGAAGAAGAAGAGATTGAACACAGAAGAAGAAGAAGAAGAAGAAGAAGAAGAAGAAGAAGAAGAAGAAGAAGAAGAAGAAGAAGAAGAAGAAGAAGAAGAAGAAGAAGAAGAAGAAGAAGAAGAAGAAGAAGAAGAAGAAGAAGAAGAAGAAGAAGAAGAAGAAGAAGAAGAAGAAGAACAAGAACAACAACAACAACAACAACAACAACAACAACAACAACAACAACAAGAGGAAAAATGTAGATTTTGGTGAATTAGGAATGGGGGCTGGAAGCGGGAATAGGAGCTGGGGAGGGTTTTCGTTTTTTCAGAGAGGGTGGGGCCCATTTGGGGCAGTTGTAATAGTTGTAAAAGTTTGGAATTTTTTTTAAACCTAGTTATAAATATTAAACACTAACAATGAAAGTGTCCTTTTTACACCAATTTTAACACTTTTGTCTTATAAATTGCTTTAAGTGTTCAAAAGTCCTATAAATCTAATTCCCCTATAGAGTCTAGGTGGTTTTTTCTACCAATGTTTTGTCATTTCAAGTTCGTACATATTCACCCTTTCTGAAACTACTCATGGGTATCCTATCCCCCAAAGACCTGAGACTTGAGAGGTTTCACTCTAGATTTTGTTCCAATTAAATGTGCACAACCATATCGATATTCATTAGATTTTGATGCTTCCTTTGCTTTAATGTTCTAGCTTGGAGTAGGAAAATTTAACTAGTCTATGTTGGCATGCAGTTGCGATTTCTTTTTTTCTCGTTTTAATTAGAAACGTACTTGAAGGCTTAATACCTTGTGTTAGGGTGTCTCACTATTTTGGCCACTCCGATGTTGTAAGGCAGTAATAGAGTATGGGTACTGCGAATTATCGAGTGTTTTAATTGATGGCTTTGAGCCAAGTGGGGGAGCCTGCGATTGACAATTCAATTCATGGTTATGTGTCAAATATTTTTGTTTTGGTCTGAAGTATACTTGGGAATCAGTGATGACTTGCAGAGGTGGAGTTCGAGAATGACTCGAGTAAGGAAATTTCTGGATATAGGTTATATTGCGCCTTATGAGTATATGAAAATCATGGGATGAGTGAGTTGTTATTTGTGAATGATGTAGTGTGCACGGTGTATGAATTTGATAGGTGGTATTAAAGTAGAGTTACTTCTTTGAGTCTTGTTGTGCTAATGGGTCACGTGTCTTTTGGCCCATTTGGGCGGTGTAATGTGGATTTGAACAAAGGGGGTGACTCTCGAGAAAGTTCTAATGGATTCGAGATTAATATGTAACAATTGAGAATTTTTGGCGGATTTGATTATGGCTAAAATCTGAGATTAATGTTGGATGATGTCTAGACTTGTGGCATTTTTTAGATATCATTATGAATTTTATATTTCAGTATCAGGAAGGTGAATGAAACGGCCTTAGACTCAAATAAGGCATTTTCAGAGTGGGTATTTCGGTTGTGGTATTTATAGGGGTAATTATGATGTGGTGAGACTCTACAGATATTTTGGTGGAAATGTTCTTGGGTTTTGGTGACCTACGTGGTTTGGTCAAGTTAGAGGAATTTAGTTCTAATAGCTTGGTTATGTGCAGATAGATTTCAAAGTGTTCTTGATGGTTTCTACCATGATTTTAGTGTGAGAAACGTGTTATTTATACCAATCCAGGAGCATGAGAATCTTATTTCATTATCATATACAAGTGTACTTGTTTAATTGCTCATGTATGATATGCTGGACTGGAGGCCTGTGACCATGTCAGGCGATTCATATTATTGGCACGTGAGTTGTCTGTGCCGTGTGTGAGAATTTTATTTCTATGATAATTTATCTGATTCATTAATTTCCTTCCTCTACAATTGTGCTCATGCGCCTATAGTTATCCTCTTCACGAAATTTAAGGAGTTGGTTGTAACATTGTGGTTGTGGTGGTGCTTGTTGAACTTGCAATATGGTTCTTTTCCTTGAGACATCTCCCAAATTTGGGTACACGGATTGCGCAGTGGTGGCTGGAGTTATATTGATGTGGCGTGTCTGTGGGATAGTTGTGTTTAATAATATAAGTTCATTGGACCTGGAATGGGTACTATCAGGTTTGATTACGGTATATTCTGGAGTATAAAATTGAAAGTCGGCTTAGGAAGTGATTATGATTATAGTTGGGGCGAGAGAGCTCCATGACTTGTTGATCTGATAAGGGGTCATGAGATTTCCACATGTTTCTTCCATTATCAGCAGTGTACGAAGGTTTTGGAAAGAGGTTTTGTTTGATATGGGGTTTAATATCAGTACCGGGTTGGTTTTGAGTAGTTACGGTAATCGGGAATAGTGCTGCAAGTTTACGAGTTGTGTAGTGTGTAATGTGATTATATCAGGGGTTATGGTTATGGCTTGATACAGCTTGTTCAAACTTATACAATGTGTAGATGTGAGACTCGGGTTTTGTAAGAAATTCTGGATGTTGAAATTGGGTTATAAGTTTACGGACTAAGGTTAACGTAATGATCTTCAATTGTGTTGTGTTTTCAGGTCCATGGAATAGGGTGGCGTGGGATCACCCCGGGTATATGCGTGGTAAGATGGAATAGTGATGTGATGGCTTGGAAACAACTCTTGTCACGTTCGAGGACGAACGTATGTTTAAGCGGGGGAGAATATAACGACCCGGCCGGTTGTTTTGAGTATTACAACCCTGTTTTCCCATTTACTACTTAGTATATGTTCAAGTATAATTATGAGACCATTGAGGCATCTACACACTCCCTTATTGAACAGATTATTGATATTCACATATAGATACAGGAGAAATTATCCTTTTGTGAGCATTGTACATTGATTCATCTTGCTTGTTCATAAATCATTTTCTACTTAGTTTGGTTTGTATTTCATTCCTTTTTACAGTCAATATTCGATATTTTTCTACTTACTTTTTCGATTTGTACCGAATTATACCACGTATCCTTAGAACTGCATATAAATTCAACTCTATCAATTTTTCAAGTAAACAGTTTGGCGCCCACCGTGGGGCTAAGGATAACAGTGGTTATTTGGTACAAATCTCTGTAAAACACACTATTTTACACTTGCTCTTGAAAGTGTCTTTGATTTCAGGCTGAAAACGACGAATTCTCAATTAATTGCCCTACCTATCGACAACGAAGCTGGCCTTCAAGATGAAAACATTAACTTAATGCCCGGGGGCGAAAGGCCACTTGTCAATCTTGTTGGAGCTCGGGTCGAAGAGCCAATAGACGTTAATTCACATGTGGCCATTGAGGCAAACCAACGTTCCGACACTAAAAATAGCATTCAAGGTCGAACTCAATCTACAACTCGAAATACCCAAAACGCTGAGGAAAACGGAATCAACTTGCGTATGATTTTCAAAATATTGCAAGCTCAACAAGCAGCAATAGCCCAGTTGTAGAGCCAAACCCAGGCACCGACCAGGCTCGAGCCCAGTCCACCCCAAGAAGTCACCCACAAAACGGGGCCAGTTGTAATGAGGTCGAATGAGCAAGAATCGGGGACTAATCCCGAAATCATTAAGATGCTCGAGGAACTGACAAAATGAATAGAGTCAGTGGAAAGGAGGATTGAACAAATAACAAAAAAGTGGAAACGTATAACTCCAGGGTTGACCAGATCCTGGGGGCACCACCGATATTGAAAGGCTTGGATTCCAAAAAATTCGTACAAAAGTCTTTCCCCCCGAGCGCAGCTCCGAAACTGATCCCCAAGAAGTTTCGCATGCCCGAAATTCCTAAGTATAATGAAACGACCGACCCCCAACAAACACATCACCTCTTACATATGTGCCATTAAAGGGAACGATCTAGAGGAAGACGAAATCGAATCTGTATTATTGAAAAAATTAGGTGAAACCCTGTCAAAGGGAGCAATGATATGGTATCATAATTTACCGTCTAACTCTATCGATTCTTTTGCGATACTTGCAGATTCATTCGTAAAAGCACACGTTGGAGCCATAAAGGTCGAAACTAGGAAGTCGGATCTTTTCAAGGTAAGACAAAAGGATAATGAGATGCTAAGAGAATTCGTATCTCGTTTCCAAATGGAATGAATGGACCTACCACCAGTCACAGACGAT